GCTTCCTGTACTCTGTTAGGAATAGATACAGTAGATAATTGATTTAAAAATGACATATTTGATTCAGATAGGCGATGGTTAGACACATAATGACTCATGGGATATTTGACTTTACTCGAAAGCTCAGGCTCATATGTGGGTTTAGGAATACCTCTGGTGTGACGTTGTGGTAGTGTTCTAACAGGTTCAATTATAGGAGCATCCTTGGCAAGCAATTGGTTTGGTATATCATTTTCACTCTCTTCTTGATAGATTGGCCCAATCTGGGGATCATCAACACCACTAGCATCCAAATTTATACCACTTACATCTATGATTCCCACTTCTTGATTACTAGTTTGTGAGTTATTACCACCACTGGCATCCAAATTTATACCACTTATATCCACTGCATTCACATCCTGGTTATTAGATGCAACTTTTGTAGAAATACGAACATCATAGTCTAGAGTCTGAACTTCCTCCTGGTGCTCCCCCTGAAGTTCAAACGTAGAAGAAAAATACATTGAGTCTTCACGAAAAACTACATCCAGTGTGACAAACATTCGTTTAGTTGGCGGGTGATAGCATAATATCCCTTTTGATGAGAAGCATACCCAAGAAAGACACATCTTAATGCCCAAGGTTCTAATTTATTGCGTTAATGCTTATGTAGGTGTACGAATGCTACATACCCAAACACGTGAGGAGGTAAGTTTGGAGTGGTAGGAAAGATAACATCTTTAGTAAGGGCTTGGGATGGAGTTCAGAAGGCAATAGTGCTAGAGGGTACCCGATTGATTAAATAGGCTATAGATGTAAGAGCTTCTCCCCAATAGGACAATGGCATATGAGCTTATATCAATGAAGCACGAACAACCTCCAACAATTGACGATTTTTTCGCTCAGCTATCCCATTCTGTTGGGATGTATTGGGACAAGTAGTCTGGTGAATAATTTCGTGGGTTTTCAAGTAATATTGAAATTCAGAATTTATGTATTCTCCACCATTGTCACTACGAAGAACTTGAGTGTGTGCGTTGTATTGAGTACAAATCATTTTATGAAATTGTTGAAATAACAAGTTCACTTCGCTTTTGGACTTCATCAAATACACCCATGTTACCCTTGTACAATCATCAATAAAAGTAACAAACCAACGAGATCCACTTAATGTAGGAACATTGGATGGACCCCAAACATATGAATGTATAACCATGAAAGGAACTGAGCTTTTTATTCAAACTTGATGAAAAAGAAACACGGTGACTCTTTGCAAGTTCACAAACATCACACTTAAAACTTGAAATATCACATTTTGCAAATAAATTAGGAAATAATTTATGCAAGTAACCAAAAGAGACATGTCCCAAACGTCGATGCCATAACTAGATGTCAGATTTTTTCTTCTCCCCCTTAGAACCATCTACTGCCAAAACTTGACGCAACTTGTTTGAACCATTTGATGTCAAGTCAAGGTAGTATAACTTCCATCGTTTAATACCACAACCAATCGTCTGCTTTGTTCGGATGTCCTTAAAAACACAAGAGTCATGCCAAAAAATGACAATACAAGAAAAGGTAGTGGTTATTTGTGAAACTGACAAAAGATTATAATTTAACGACAGAACAATTAAAACCATCGAAACTCAAATTATCAGTGAAGGGGAAAGATCCTTTTCCACTAACGGGAGTTGAAGTGCCATTAGCAGTGGAAACGAATTTTTGTGATGATGGTTTAACTAGTGAGACCTGACTAGAATCAAATGTAATATGATCGGTAGCACCAGAATCAATTATCCATGCACTATTAGAAACAGGTGTAGAAATATATAAAAACTTACCACCATCATTTCCAGCTACTGCCAATGCTGAGGCCTTCCCAACAATATCATCCACTACTAGGGTTGGCAATGGTTCGGTTATGGGTCGATTCGACCAAAATCATAACCGCACCACCAATTTCTTAATCATACCATAACCGCACCATAACCACATAAATCGGTTCGGTTCAGTTTGTATTTCGGTTCGGCACAATTCGGTTTGGTTAATAACCACGAAAATAAATTATTTTTATAGGTTCATCCGTCAAATTGATATAAAATAATTTATTAAAAAAGTCAACAAAAACAAAAACACAATATTTCAAACGAAAATGCAAACATTATCAAACGATATTTCAAACGAAAATGCAAACATTATCCCAATTTTCAATTGTAAAATACAAATTTAACAAACAATATTATAAATATAACAATACTAAACTTTTCCTTAATTCTTAAATGTTGTGTATCGAAGTTACTTGATTCATTCTTCCCAACAAATCTTACTAGCATAGATCAACATTTAAAATTGATTCCTATATAGTAAATAAGAAATGTAAGTAGAGAATACAACGATACTACCTATTCCAGAATGGTCTTAACTAATATTTAAATAAAAAAAATGTACATTTTCATCAACTTCCTTCTCGCTAAATGTCATACAAGCTCTAAAGTATGATGAAGAAGTAGATTTTCTACACACAATAGAAAAAAAACAATAAAAGGAGCCTTACGTGAGTTTGTGGTTTGTGGAGAGTAGAATTTGCATTTATATACTGTCATACTTATGATATTATTATGAGCTAATGATAAGTGGGTTGGCCGGCTGAGTCAGGTAGATGTAATGGGAGGGATTTTATTTTGGACTAGATAGAAAAGTAATGTAAAGCCCAATAATCAATTCAATTATTTTTTTTTAGCGAGTAATCGGTTCGACGGCGTAAATACCATACCCACACCGCCACGAACCGGTTCATTAAAATAAAAATCATATCCGCCTCATTGCACCATCGGTTCAATTTTTTTTGCCCCTTTCGGTTCAGTTAACCGCGATTTTCAATTTTGACGGTTCAAATTGCCATCCCTATCCACTACTTGTGTTTCAACAACTGGAGTAGTAGAGGATTTCTTGGAATTCCTTTTTCGTGGATCGCAGCTATGATCCCACCATTTTGGATACCCCACAAGTTCAAAGCATCTAGTTTTGGTATGACCAGTTTGATTACAGTGAGCAAGTGCATTTATAAGCAGATTTGTCGGCATTATTCTTCTAACGGTTAGACCCTGTTTGTTGGTTTTTGAAAGAACGATTTTGGACCACCATGCTGAAGTTTCAAAGTTTTCAAGTTCTCCATTCATCATTGTACGTCGAATGGACTCGCGACGGATCAATGCGTAACATTCTTCTAGTTCAGGGATCGGTTCCTTCCTCAAAATTTCACCACGAATTTGTTCAAAATCACTATCTAATCCCGCAAGAAAGATATGTACCCTTTGTCGCTGGACTAGTTTTCGATAAGATTCAACATCTTTCTCGCTCTCCATGATCACCTTATCACGATGATCCAAATCGCCAAAAATTTCAGTCAATTCTCCATAATACACTGAAAGTGCTTTGCCCCTTTGTTTGGCAGAGAAAGCTTTTTGATTCAAGGCAAAAACTTGCAACTCATCCGTTCCATCATAAAAGGCTTTAGAGAGAGCTTTCCAAATATCACGAGCCGTGGGTAAATGAAGATATCGCTTCATAATTTCTGGAGTCATAGACATCAACAACCATCTCTTGACCTTTTGATTATCCGCATACCACTTCTCGTATCCATCATCTTTCTCTGTAGGTACCTGTTAATTTCCACGAATGAAGGAGAGTTTCTCCTTTTCTGCAATATGCATTTCCATGATTTGAGACCACATATCATAGTTTGTCTCATTGAGTAAAATCCCTGCATTGAAAGAGGAGCCTTTGGATTGAATAATAATGGGAGCAAGCTTGTTACTAGATGCCAAATGGTCTGTCTTATTCATGGTGGACCAAATGGTTAATTGTGAGTGTTGTGGTTTGGAAGGAGATTGTACGGAGGTCTGAAGGCAGAATCTGATGGTAAACAGATTGTGTTCAGAATTTTAGCAGAGGTAATAAAGAATTTGGAATTAGAAGACGAAATAAAGAATTCGATTTCGGTTGTAGAGTCTTCCTTTACCGTCAATTTTTTTTTTATCCCAGCAATTTCTTTGTCAAAGAATCTGATGGGATCGGTTCTTCAACAGAACTTAGAAATATCGGCTCCGATACCAAATACATGGAAGAATTTTTTTATTCTTACATTCAATGGAGATATACAGGTACATACATATAGCTGTAGAACAATAATCTCGGCCCTACAATTAAGCTACAGTTCCAACAATCAAGTAATACGTTCCTATAATGAAGCTATTTGTCTAATGAACCTACCCACAATTGCTGTACAGTTTCAATGGCACTGGGAAAGGAAAGAATACAAATTGGAGGAAAGAATCTTAACATTCCAACACCGTATACTCATCATGCTTATTTAACCTTATTTAACCTATGTTTGATTTGGCCAAAATTCAAAACTTTTAATTATTTTGATAAAAATTGATGAAATTTGTGATTAAAAAATTGTACATCCCATAAAACGTGTTATAAAATAATCCATGCATGTCTCTGTGTCAGGCAGCAATAGGTCCACAGGCACGGCAACAATATTTGGCCCAGCCCTGCCTGCGTCTATATTACATGTACCAATCCAAGGACCCCTCTGTTCCCCCTTGCAGCAATTTCCAGTTATGAAATCCCGTATTCTTGATCCAAACACACGTAAAATTAGAATTAGCAAACAAATTCAGGAACATGCATGTTGCGTCAAGGTTTTGAATAATTCAAGAATTACTAAAAAAATGTATTCGACCATATGCTAAACAGATACTTTTAAGGAAAGAAGATCAAACCAAATTAAAATTGCTTGTCCCACAAAGTTCAATACCTAATCTTAACCTTGTGAAAAGTAAAGACCAAAACCAAGAAACGGCATTCAGATGGCTCTTACCACTGCCCCCTAAGCAGAGTTCAACAAACTCAAATTGCTCAATCCTCCACTCTCCCAATACAAACAAGGATAGATTACAGCATCTGAAAACCATACACAACTACAT